TGGCCAGGCCTGGCGGGCGTGGCTCACTGTTCTTCCTGGGCTTTCCCTCGCGAGCACAGAGAGCAGGAGGTGGAGGCGCTGATGCCGGTGCTGTGCTGCTGGATGGTGGTGCCTGGCGCCTGGCCTCTGTGCCCAGCTGTCTCCTGGCCAGACCGGGAGGTGCAGCTCCACATTGCCCTGAGCCTCTGGGGCTGATGGTGTCCAACTCAGAGATGAGGAGGTGCTCTGGCAGGTTGAGGACAAGAGGCATGGAGCCAGGGTCACACCGGGTCTAATTACAAAACTAGTGCTTTTCCTGTGGCCCCAGTAGCTCCCCTGACGATCGCCTGGCTTCTCTAAAACATGCCTTCCCAGGCCGCCTGAGATGGGGCCGCAGGGGCTGCAGGGCTGGCTCTGCGTGTACAGCCCAGAGCCCTGGACGGGCACCCCTGCGCGTCCCCGCCTGGAAGCCAAAAGATTTTATTTTTGTCCCTTGAGCCCTCCCCATGGTGGTTAGTCTGATCCTAGGCCACCCCGAGGGTCACCACGTCCTGCTGCCAGACTCCGCCTGGACCTCATCCCCCACAAACCCCACCCGTCCGGGGTCCTGTACCCTCTCACCGCCTCCCCCCGTCACCTACCCCCACCTGCACCCATCCCAGGGCTCCACCCCGCCCGCAGCCTGGCGTTGGCTGTGGGGTGGGTCGGGCTGAGGACCGTGCCCTGACCCTCACCCTCTGTCCGCAGTGGGGTCTCAGGACAGCCTGCTGGAGATCACCTTCCGCCCCGGAGCCCTGCCCGTGCTCTGCGACCCCACGACCCCCACTCCGGAGGACCTGCCTTCGCCACCCCTGGGCGCCAGCTCGGCCCTGCCTGCAGGCAGCCCCTTAGGTAGGCGCGACTGCTTGGTGAAGCTGGAGTGCTTCCGGCTCCCCGGGGCGCGGGGCCCTCCGCTGGGCGGCCTGGAGCTGCTCCGCTTCCGGGAGTCGGGCATCGCCTCTGAGTACGAGTCCACCACGGACGAGAGCGAGGAGGAGCCGC